CACACACACATATATATGCTACTTTCTGAAATGGTGGGTATGCCAATTCTTTTTTGGCATAGCAATTCTGTGTATTCCTTTCATTTCTTTTTTTTACGCTTCCTGCATCATTCACTATTTTCACTACAGAATGCTTCAGTATTGCAACTTGAGGCTTAAATTCATTCTACAGTTCATTCAGCTTGAGAAATGCTGAGTGTGTTCTTCCATTTGGGTTTTCTTACTCCAGTTCATTGAACATTTCTCTATACTTCTTAGCTTGTCTTACTTAGTTTTCCTCTGAAATCTTGTTTTCAGCTGTCTTACTTAAGTATTTCTTTGTTTTAGCTTTTTTATATTCTAGTGGAAGTTTCAGAGTGTCACTGTCGTCCATTTTGATCTTTTCTTTTATTCCTGTCTTTTGAATGACATGGATAATATCTTTGATGTCATGCCACAACTCATCTGGTCTTCTGTCATTAGTGTTCAATGCATAAATTCTATTCTTAAGATGGTTTTCAAATTCTGTTGGGATTGACTCAATGTTTTGTTTTGGTTTCCATGGACTTGTTTTCATTTTCTTCAGCTTCAGGTAGAACTTGCATGTAGTTAATTGTAAAATACAAAACAGTCAATCCCTGGCCTTATTTAGACTGTTGATATTAAGCTTCTCCACTGTATTTTTCTACAGATTTATTCATTCTGATTCCTGTGTAGTTCATCAGTTGCAGTATATGTGTATAATTACTATTTATACTTTTAAAAAGAAATTATTGGCAATGAATAAATGACTTTTTGTACAACCTTATATCATCTGATCTCCAGCCTCATTTCTGTCACCAGAACATATATTCTATCTGTCCTTTTTTGTTTCCAACTTTTGCATTCCAGTCAGTTTATTTATAATGCATCTTGATTGCATGTTCTATCAATGTCTGCAAAAAATTGCAGACTGAAAAAGTTAATAGAAATCTGCAAATTCTTGATTTTTAGCTTTAAAGGTTGATGTGCATATTTGAATAATAGCTGTATTAATGAGTATCTATTAGGTGCCATAAAGTCTTCCTGTTTTTCATTGACCTTCTGTTTTACTATGATGTCCTCAGCAGGCACTGATCTCTGATAACATGTCCAAAGTATGTGAGATGAAGTCTCACTATCTTCACTTCTAAGGGGAATTCTGGCTAAGCTTCATCCAAAACAGATTTGTTTATTCTTTTGGCATGATATATCTAGTGGCCTTCCCCAACTTCATGATTCAAAGGCATAAATTCTTCATGGTATTCTTATTTATTATGCAGCTTTTATTTGCCTATCCTATTGACAGACATACATAAAATACAATTGAAAATACCATGACTAGCGTCAAATGGACCTTATTTCTCATGGTGACATCTTTACTCTTTAATATTTTCAAGAAGTATTTTACAGTATATTTGCCCAATGTAATACATAATCTTTGTGGGGGTTTTTAAACTACTGTTTTAATGGATATTGACTTTGGATCTAGGTAAAATGAAATCCTTAATAACTTCAATCTTTACCAGGCATGATATTACTTATTGGTGCACTTATAGGGGTTTTCCTTTTCTTTCTATTCATTACATTTTCACTGGTCCATTCCTTTCAAAAGTAAATTGCCAATCTTTCTTCCTGGTCTCCCCTAGTCTAGAAGTTTCACCAAAATCTGTCCGTTCACCTGGATGGTATTTGAAGCACCAGTGGCATAGCTTCCAGCATCACAGAAACATGCAGGTCACAAAGTAAAGCAAGCAGTGCCAGACTAAGGGTGGAGTGCTATTCTAAGTATTCCTAAATCTAGGAGCACTCAAATAGAAATGAGACTTCTATTTAGAAGATTAAACTAATCAATCAAAGTAAATAAATTTAAAGAGAGCATTTAGGAATATTACTATTCTTGCTGGGTATTTTGTCTTGTTTTTCTTTTTCTGTTTTTATTTATTTGATCAATTAACCACTTTAATACTACAAATTTATCTGGAGATCTTTTTGCCCACAAACTCACAGATAAAATACACAGTCCTTAACGTGTTTTGTGGAAACCATTTCTTTCCTGCTTGGGGACCAGTCAAATACTCCTTAGGCTACTCTGTCTGATCTCAACTCCCAGGAGATTAAAATTTCTATTTGGTAATTATAGGTTGTGGCCTCAACTCATTTGTTCTGAAGGGCACACATATGAGATACCTTGATTCTTTAAAGGCCAATGTTGCTAAAGTTCTTGCTTTATTAACTCTCACTTCAAGCTGTAGCTGTCAACAATAAGAACCATTGCTCCCAGCTATCCCCTTGGCTACCAAGGGCAGAAAACAAACTGCCTAAATATAGTTTTTGTGCAGATTGGTCGCTATACACAACTGAGCCATGAAATAAGAAGGAGGAAAAATCAGTGTTTGAGATACTTTGAAAGAAGAAACTGCCTATAGTTTTTTCACTTTGTTATACAGAATGCAGAAAAACTTTTCAACATTCTAAGATTTACAAAATCAACCATGATTCAAGTTATGCAACGCCACCTTCTCCAGTCATCCTCATTCTTATTAGATGAATTCAAATAAATGTCCTGAGTGAAGTAGAAGATCACATCTCCTGATTGAACAAAATTTGCAGGTAATCTGTATTTGTCCTATGAGAAATGTTTTGAAGATAGGTTTATGTCTAAACAGTCAATATAATAGGGATTCCCCTTGTTTAAGCAGTGATCTGATTTAAATTTCTTAGGAATGGCCATTACTGGAATATTGATTAAGATGTCACAATGAATCCTATGGATGGAACAAAGTTCATGATTTAGGGTCTTAAGATCACAGATAAGAATCAGGTTTAAAAAAAAAAGAATCAGAGTTAAACAGTGCTCAAGTGGGCAGAACATTGTTACAAAGCAAATGTCAAAACCTAGAAAAGTAGAATAAGGGACACAAGCTCTACATGGCCACGAGGGAGAATTATGGCATATGGAAACCAAAGATAATGTCTCAAGATGAAAGCTAGAGAGCTTAATCCAAATATCTGTGCCACAGAGGCTGTAAAGGATTGAATATAATATGTCTGTCTGAAGTTGACTGCCATATATGAGTTTAGAAAAGTGACTGGTAGAGGACTTATTCCTGTGGAGCAAAGGTTAACAAAAGCAAGTGTTTCTAGAAGATGCTGAGATTCAAATGTTCACAGTCCCTTGGGATGAATTTCCAAGCAGCTTTTCTTTTGTGTAGAAGAATGAACCAGGTTATGGAATGGTGAGCAGGGTTCTCTGTGCCGGTAGTTGCTACAACTAAGCAACTTTGAAGATTCCTTTGGCATGCAACTCTTTGATTCTTTACTTCAAGATACTCCAATCTTTCTTGTGATATACATCTGCCCTAGTAATGCTGTAGAGGATGGGCCCAAGGGTTTATACAATGTCCCAATCACATCGTGTCCTCTTGTTTATGTAGTCTGGTAGCTGTACTATGTACAATTACTTGCTTTGATTCTAAGTAGAGACATTATCATTATTAACTCCAAAGTTATGAGTTGGGCTTTTTTTTAAAGACAGAGATCCCACTCCAAAATAATTCCATTTGTCAATTTCAATTCCAACTGGAATCATGAGCAGAGCAGAGCAGCTACTAATAGTGACTTCAAGGTGATTTTCTTATACATCGTTTAATAAGGAATAATAGCAGGAGCAGCGATAACTTTGATTGTTGAGAATACTCTACCCTATATGAAGAAAGCTCTGGTTTCATAGTCTGTAAGGAGTTGGGCTGTTAACTCAAAAGCAGACCCTCTTTGGCAGTTGCAACTTATCTGCGGATCTGTGTGAAGAAGATAGTCAATCTCCTCTCATATTATTTACAGCCTCTGAAAACGTGTTGTAAGGTCAGCTATCAGTCAGTTATAACTCAAAGGCCATAAGTATGAGAGTTGGTCATATTTTTGTCTTGAGTGGCATTCTCAAAGAATAACATAAGATTATGATAATGACATATATTCTGAATAATTAAAAGTAGGTATCTTTTAAGTAGTTTTTAATACAATCTCATATTTATTACTAAAAATATTTTGGTTTTGACTGTTTATATATACATTTTGCATATATATAAATTGAGGCACAGAGATTTACCTACCATTTACAAGACAATATAGTTCATTAATAATGGAGTCTATATTTTAATGTACACTGATCCAAAAATTCATATGCTCTCTATCCTCCTAGCTATTACTTTGCTATTATGCTCACTCAAACACTGAGAATCAGCTTTTCAGACCTACTTATGTCCTACCAAATATAGATTGCTATTTCTCAGTCTTGAACTTTCACAACATTGTTCGTATAAATTAAGTAGCATACACATTTTCTTAAAGAACGTACATATTTCCTTAAAAAAAGTAATAAATACGTGTTGGACCTTACAGTGTTATTACCAATCTCTTTCTAAATCATAGCTTGAGCTCCATTTGCATCAAGTACACTGTTTTAAAATGTCCTTTTTTCAGATGTATCTAAGTTGTTGCAGGTATGCAACATGCCTTGTCATCACTTGAAGGGGGTGTTCAATAAGCATTTTCTATTAGTTCCTGTAATATCTAGCTGTAAGAGATCACTGGTAATTACATAGCACTATTTTCCAGAGTTAATGGACTGGTGCCATTTTAAGAAGAGGGACCATGTGTCATTCATCTTTAAAGTCCAATATCTGACACAAAACCCAAGACATGGCGTTGTTGCTGTGTGCTATTGGTCTGGAACTGGCCCATAGCTGAGCCTCCAGTTGGTTTTCAGAGGCAGTAAATTGCATGAGAGAAGACTGCCCATCTTTCTCCCACAGAAAAGCTAGCGGATTAGAAACTTGTGCCTTTGGAATTGCAGAGTAGCCTCTTACTACTAGGGACTAAAAATATTTACTGAATAATAGCGATAGAAAAAGAAGTCTTGTTAATGAGAAATTTGTTTAAATCATAGTAGAACCTTGGTTGTTATGCTCTTTTATATCATTTCTAGGGAGTAGCCTTTGTAAATGGCCTTGAGGAACCACAGCACCGTCACCGAGTTCATCCTTCTTGGGCTGTCCACTGAGCCACATGTCCAGGCTCTGCTCTTTGTGCTCTTCCTGGGGATTTACTTGTTGACCCTGTTGGGAAACCTCTTGATGCTGCTAGTCATCAGCCTTGATTCCCACCTTCATACTCCTATGTACTTCTTCCTGAGTCATCTCTCTTTTGTTGATCTTTGCTTCTCTTCTGTCACTGTGCCCAAGATGCTAGAGAACCTCCTATCGCAAAGGAAAACAATCTCAGTAACTGGCTGTTTGGCTCAGGTTTTTTTTGTCTTTGTCACTGCAGGGACAGAAGCCTGTCTGCTCTCAGTGATGGCCTATGACCGCTATGCTGCCATCTGCCACCCTCTGCTCTATGGGCAGATCATGAATAAACAGCTGTATTTACAGCTCGTGTGGGGCTCCTGGGGTCTGGGATTTCTGGATGCATTCATCAATATCCTCCTAGCTATGAACTTGATATTTTGTGAGGCCCAAGTCATCCACCATTACAGCTGTGAAATGCCATCTGTCCTTCCTCTGTCATGCTCCGATGTCTCCAGAAACATCATTGCTTTGCTCTGTTCTACACTCTTACATGGGCTGGGAACCTTCCTCTTGATCTTTTTATCCTATGCACACATTATTTCCACCATTCTAAGCATCAGCTCCACTACAGGTAGAAAGAAGGCCTTTTCTACCTGCTCCTCCCACCTCACTGCAGTCACACTTTACTATGGCTCAGGTTTGCTTCGCAATCTTATGCCAAACTCAGGCTCCACTATGGAGTTGATCTTCTCTGTGCAGTACACTGTAGTCACTCCCATGCTGAATCCTCTCATCTACAGCTTGAAAAACAAGGAGGTGAAGGCAGCTATGAAAAGAACTTTGGAAAAGTATTTGCAACATATCAAGTGTTGAAATAAAGATAAAGGATGGTAGAGAATTGGGGGAAAATTGCATACCACAGGACATTAGATGGTCCTGTGCTGTGGGCTAAGAAAAAAAATCAAAGTACCTGAGATTAACTGAAGCCACTAGGCAGAAAGCTAGAATATTTTTCCCATTCACTTATCTGATTGAGTTTCTTCTGTCTTCATTGTGCTTTTGCTTTTGTCTTTGTCAGAACCTTTTCCTTCTGCAAATTAAACGCTATATTTTAACATGATTATTTCTCATAATGCTGGATTATTTCCAGAGATATAACTTCTCTAGTAGTAAAGACCATTGAAATGCATAGATAGTGCACTACACAGCAAGAAAAGGCAAACCGTCAAATATTTTTACTTATTTTTACATTTTCCCATGCACATATTGATCTATCATGATCTTTCTTATGTCTGAATATATACTTGCATGGATTAACCCCAGCCAAAATCTGTTGTCACTTGCCTAAGGACCTTATAAAACAGAGTAGGATTTCCAAAGCTGTAAGGAGGTAGATGACCACATCTTTCCTCCATACAGTGACTGCTGGGTGAAAACCACTCAATTTGGGGTTAACAAGCAAGCAATTGACAAGTGCACTACCAGGATGTATTCTTACATGCATTTGCACTCTTTTTATTTACCCTCATGTTGGAGTTGGTTGGGGTTTTTTTTTTTTTGGCTATTTTTAATCAATCATGTTACAAATACTGCCGCAGTGCTTTATACACATGTCTTTAAAATATGCAAGTATTTCTTTAGGTCTAATTTATAAAAGTGAAGTTTCCACACAATTTAAACTTTGAACAACAGCTTTATTAAGTCAAAATTGGAATTTAATAAATTCTCATATTCATTTTCTCTCTATTTCTCTCTCATTGCTGAGAACTCTCCTAGCACATAAAGTGTAGAATCTCATAAATGTTGTCATATACCACACTGGTGCAATCATCACAATAAATATCGTGAACATATACATCGTCTTTTGGTGTTTCTACACACACTTTAAATTCTCTTTATTCCTGCCCTTGAAATCTCTAAACCCCAAAATCAGTTGCTTTTGAAGCAGCACAAATTCATGGTGATCTGATAATGTCAAAGCAGAACTGTGCTCTGTAAGATTGGCAATGACTGATTTAGCAGGTAATCACTGATGTGCTAAAGTGGACAATGAATTGGCATATGATTTATGAAAGACAATAGATTAGAGCATAACTTGTTAACCTTTTGTACAATGTGGACTAGTGGTTTATTTAAATAACATTGTTTCCCAATTCATAGCTTACTGGTAAATCAACACTGATTATCCTACAAGAATCTTCAAAAAAAGTGTTAATATGAGAGTCTCAAAAAGATGGGGATAGAACCACCATGGTGGATTGCTCGTCCTCACTCTTCAAAGAAACAGCTATTTCCCTGTTATTGTCAGTTTATTGGTTAAAGCCAAATTGAGCAAGAGAAAAAAAATTGTGATGTTAAAAGGGACTATTTATCTCCTCTGTTCTTGTTAAATTTAAAAGAAATTATATATATATATACTCTTAAAACCTGGTTTCTTTTTTCCTTTTCTTCAAAACAACTCGCTTGGAATCTTTACAAAATGTCAATGATCAGAAGCAGTAAGCATATTATCTTTAACATTAAGGTGTTGTTGTTGACTACAATCAAGCTGAGCACGACTCATAGTGACCTTATGAACAAAAGGCCTGAAGCCTTTCTATAACTATTATCATTTATCAAAGTTCATAGTTTCCAGAGTCATGTTGTTTAGGAAATGAATGCCACTCTTGCTACTTTAAAAGGCAGTAAATTATGTTAATGATCTTTTATTAAAGTCAAAATTCAAAATAAAACGCAGTAAGAGTCAGTATTGTGATATATAGAAAAATAATAATATTGAATCTTCATTAGATAGGATGTAATTATAAAAGCTAGTTTTTTAGTACGGTGGTGGTGAGTTGGAATTAATTACCATACATGAAAGAGGATATGAATATTCATGGAGTATAAAATTTTTAAAGTGGAAAGACTTTGATCTATTTAGAAGCCTGAATCTAAACCATGAAGGGAACAAGTACCTACAAACTACACTGAGACTTCACTTGTCATATGGTACTTGACACATTTATGGAGTCTTATAAGATGAGGGTTTGGTTTGGCAAAGAGATCACAAAGGTTAAAATAAAGGTAATTTTCACATAATAAATGGTGAGCACAGAGGAGTGGAGAAAGAAAAAACAAAACAATTGAATTTAGCCCAGAAAAGAAAAATTTCAAAATATGGAAGCAAGATACAAACACAAAAAGAATAATTGGAAAATAAATCTATAAAGTACAAGAAGTAATCATGAAAGCTAGTAGAACTCTCAATTTTTTTAATCTTTGATTTTAGTGGTTTGTACATAAATGTGAAAAATGGTAACATTAACAGGTCTTCCTTCTAAGGATGTGGATATTATCCTACCACTGTCAAAATTGTAATTCAGGATTAATTTTGAAATGGTTTTTTTTAAACAATGAATGAAATACTATTCTTCTTAAATTTGTCACTGTTAGTAGCATAGACTTCCTAATTTTCCTATTCAAAATGACCAATAACAATCAATTCCATCAACTAATAGCTAGGATATCTATCTTTATGTATTCTATTACATTTTTTACAACTTTTAGTTTTCCTAAATTTATACTTTGTATAGCCCATGTTCTGATGATCAATAAACAATTGTTTTTATGTACCCTTGAGAAGGGTCAGTTATGAGTAGAATCTGACTCAATGATACATAACAACAGTTATTGCTCTTTTTGTTGTTATGTGCCATTGAATCAACTATTACTCACAATGACCTTGTGAACAATGGCTCTGAACCTTGCTCAATCCTCTGTCATTTTCAATATATCTGACACACTTGAACCCGTTGTTATGATCAGAGAGTCAATCCATCTTGTTGAAAATCTTCCTCTCTTGCATTAATCTTCTACCTTTCCAAACTTGATGTCCATCTCCTTACAACAAGCTCAAAGGATGAGATGAAGTTTCAAAATACTTTCTCCAGGATAGATTTGCTTGTTTTCTTAGCAGTCCGCAGGATATTCAATACTCTTCTCCAACAACACACCTAAAAGGTAGTGATTCTTCTTTGCTATCCTTAGTCACTGTCTAACTTTCAGATGAATAGCAAATAATTGATAAGACCATGGTTTGGACCAGGTGTACTTTAGTCTTTAAATTGACATCATTGTTCTTTAATCCTCCAAAGAGATCCTTGACAGCATATTTTTCTCATACAACTCATCTTTTGATTTCTACACTGGGTACTAAGGGTGTCAACTGTGGACCCATATAAGATAAGATCAATGACGACTTTGATCTTTTCTTCATCTATCATGATGTTGCCTATTGGCCATGAGGTAAAGATATTTGTTTTATTGATGATGAGATGCAATCATATTGAAGACTATAATCTTTGATCGTCTGCAAAAAGTGCTTCAAATCCTCCTCATTTTCATCAGTGAGCAAGGTTGTATCATCTGCATGATGCAAGTTGTCGATGAACCTTCCTCTGATCCTGACAAGTCTGTTTTTGTTGTTGTTATGTGCCGTCGAGTCGTTTCCAACTCATAGCGACCCTATGCACAACAGCCCTAAACCCTGTTCTATCCTGCGCCAACAGCACCGCCTCTGACACACCCATCCCGATTACCCCAGTCACCGAATCAATCCATCTCATAGAGGGTCTTCCCCTCCTGTGCTGTCCCTCCACCTTCCCAAGTATGATGTCCCTCTGCAAGGATCCGTCCCTCCTGGCAACATGTCCAAAGTATGTCAGACGAAGCCCCAGAATCCTTGCCTCCAAGGAGTAGCTTGGTTTAATCCTCTCAAAGATGAATCTGTTTGTTTTCCTGGCAGTCCATGGTACATTCAGTACCCTTCTCCAGCACCACAGCTCAAAAGCATCCACTCTCCTTCTGTCCTCCCTAGTCATTGTCCAACTCTCTGATGCATAACAAGCGATTGCAAATACCATGACCTGTATCAGGTGCACCTTAGTCTCCAGAGAGACACTGTTGCTCCTGAGTACCATTGAGAGGTCCCTAACAGCAGACTTTCCCATCGCGATACGCTTTTTGATTTCCTGACTGCTGGTGCCAAGAGTGTTGACTGTGGTGCCGAGCAAACTGAAGCTGTGAACACTCTCAATCTCTTCGTCATCCATCCTGACGCTGCCAATTGGTCCAGTGGCGAGAATCTTTGTCTTCTTGACATTGAGCCTCAGTCCATACTGAAGGCTGCAGTCCTTGACCCTTCGCAGCAAGTGCATGAGGTCCTCCTCAGTTTCAGCAAGCAAGGTTGTGTCATCTGCATAACGGAGATTGTTGATAGATCTTCCACCAATCCTGATGCCACAATTCTCCTCATAGAGCCCAGCCTCTCGGATAATCTGCTCTGCATACATGTTGAAAAGGTATGGAGACAGGATGCATCCCTGGCATACACCCTTCCCAATTTTGAACCATGCAGTGTTACCTTGCTCTGTTCTGACTACTGCCTCTTGGTCCAAGTATAGGTTTCGTATTAGCACAATTAAATGTTCTGGGATTCCCATTCTTCTCAGAGTCAGCCACAGTTTGTTATGATCCACACAGTCAAATGCCTTTGCATAATCAATGAAACACAGATAGACATTCTTCTGGTATTCCCTGCTTTCAACCAAGATCCATCTAACATTAGCAACGATATCCCTAGTACCACGACCCCTTCTAAACCCAGCCTGGACTTCCGGCAGTTCTCTGCTGATGTGCTGTTCTAATCGTTTTTGGATGATCTTCAGCAGTATCTTGCTTGCATGTGAAATCAATGACACTGTTCTGTAGTTTCCACACTCAGTTGGGTCACCTTTCTTTGGAATGGGAACAAATATAGATCTCTTCCAGTCAGTTGGCCAAGTGGTTGTTCTCCAGATTTCTTGGCACAGCTTGGTGAGCACATCCAGGGC